TTTGGGGTGGGGACACACATCACTGCCCCTCGGGGATGTTGACAACTGGGTTGTGGCACCGGTTGAGGTTTGATGGATGCAGGAGCCCCATGTGCTTCTCCTCTCCTAGAGGAGATGGGAGGGAGGTCTGGATACACCTCCATGGGTGCTGGAGTGTCCCAAAGGTGGGTGTGGGTTGGGAAAGGCCCCCCAACCGGGACCCTCCATCAAGGTAGCCATGTTAGAAATAGCAAGGATGACCCAGCCATGGGTTGCACCAGAAAAATGGGGATTTTGTGATGTTCCCGTGCAGGCAGACATGATGCATCCCTCCACGGTGGGGGGACGTCTCCCATGGCCCCCCGAGTCTGCCCCTGCCTGTTGTTTAGCTGTAACGCAAAGAGGTAAGAGCAAAACGCAAATCAATATTTAAGTGCCAAGTAGCACCTTATGCTTTGGGTTTAAGGACAGAGATAATGTCCCACCCCTTAAAATAAAATCTAAACCCGAGCAAGGCAAGAGCTGACAGCAAGGCAAGGGCACACGACAGTGTTAAAGAACTTTTTTTGGGAAACAGGGCGATACCTCGCTACAGCCTTTGTAAACCTGAAAGGAAAAAACGGCTGCGTTTCCTTGAGCAAGCAAACAGTTTAAAAAGTTTCATGACAGATGGCAGGATGTTTATCTGCCTAAACTTAATCAGATTGAAGTGACACGCTTAGTATAATAGAACAAAAAGGAAGAATTAGAGGATAAAAAAGAAATTCTCAGTGATCCGTCACAGCCCTAACGTTCGACCAGGTTTTACGGGATCCTCTGCGTGTGCGCGCATGCACGCAGTGCTGTGCACTTCGGCTGAACCACTATCCAGAGGATAAAAAAAAGATACAAAAACAGACTGAAAAATTGCACTAAGGTCATTTTCCCAGATGTGGTTCGTTTTATTATAATTTCATTCCTAGCCCGCTGTCCCCAAGGGGTGCTCTGCAGCTCAGCGCTCAGTCAGTAGCTCTGAAAAAACAAGGGTTTCCAACGTTCGGAGGCTGCTCCAGCAACACGGAGCATCACTTTGGTGTCCTTCAGTGACCGGGGTCATCTTCAGCTCTTGGGGCTGCTGGAAATGGAGCTGGAATTATTTACCTCCTGCTTGCAAATGGAGAAAGCAGTAGCTGAATGCAGACAGCAGCCAGAGCACGCTGATGTAAATATATAACCGGTACATAATCACATACCTTTCTGTGGTCCCATGGGAGGTCTGAAGCAGATTAAAAGCCCACAGGGTCTCGTTCCACTCCAGTCTAAAGCACAAAGTCTTGCCTAAAACCCAAGGCAGTGCAAGGTGGCTGACGCAGTGGGGACTTCTGCCCGTAGAAGGGTGAGCCTTGCAAATGCTGCCAAGCGTCGGTGAAGGTGGGCACTCGCTGCTTCCCCCGGGGCAGAGGACAGGACGAAGTGACCCCGATCTCCAATTCTTCTACCCGGTTTGAGCTCCTATCCCTGCCACTTGCAGCACGGCCGGGTGTTACCACGCATGCTGCCATAGCTGTGCCGCAAAACTGGCGGGTGCGAGGAACTAAAAACCCCGGGGATCTGCTGGAGCACTACAATGCCCAGCGGCAGGGACCAGCTCCGTTTAGCAATGCTTATTCTGATTAGGAAAAGACAAATCTCATGCCCATCCCTGCTCACTGGAGCATCACTTGGTAGCCCTGCACATGCTGACCACTGCCTGGCAGCAGGATGGGGCTGAGCTGGGGCCAAACTGATGTGGTGGGTGCTCAGCAGGCACATGGTGCTGGTGCAGGATCAGTCCCGGGGGATGTTCGGTGAGTAGACCGGGTTTGTCTTGTTCAGGTAGCTACAGCCGTCAGCGAGTGGTGTATGCCTGGGTGGTTGTGGTAGCCAGGAGAATTGGAAGAAAGTTTAGCAATGACTACCGGGAAGGAAGGGAAGGGGCTGAACATTTCCACATAATATTTATAAAGCAGAATTTATAGTCATGGCAGGAGGACTGATGGAGCCGGTGCTTTACAGAGACTGGAAACTTAAAGTCAGGAGCAGCAGAACCGATTGGAGCTGAGCCACCTGCACTGGCCTTCATGGCACGGCCAAGCATCCCTGCCGTGCCGTGCCGTGCCGTGCCATGCCATGCCATGCCATGCCGTGATGCTCCCCACTGGAGCACTGGCCGGTGGTTGAGATGAAGCGGTGCAGGGCTCAGCACTGACAGCGCCTGGGTGCGGGCGATCCCCTGGCTGCAAAGCTGGAATTTTAATGGGAAGGGGTAGGAAACTCATGTGTCCCCCACACAGCCATGTCTGCCTGCAAGACCCCCCCACGGAAAGAAGGAAAAGCCCATCGGTCCCGCAGCCCTCGCCAGCTTGTTCCAGGCAGGGAAAAGCATTTCAGATTCTCTAAGCATCCCTGTCAGCGCTGACGTGACTGAACACAACGACAAACAGGCCAGAGCTGCAGGATGAGGTTTATTCCTAACAGGACGGTGTGATTATTCCACAATGTGTCGCAGCGTTACCGGATTCCCAAGCCGTAACCCGGGGTGGTGCTGGACAGGGGTTAAACGTGGCAGAAACACGGTTACCAGCTTGCCAAGGGCATAGGGGCTTTGTCCCCCCTGCAAGGGTTTTCGTGCCACCCATAGTGAGAGGCAGGCGTGGGACCCCACAGAGCAGAGCTGGGCCGGTGCACCCCAGCCTAGGGCTTGGTGGCTTCCATCACCGCTCAAGGCCATCCCCCATCCCATCTCAGGCACCCCAAAAGGCACAGAAAGGGTCAGTTGCTTGTCCATGAAGGGGTGCTGGGTCACCCGTTTCTCACCTGGACACCTCCGGGCTGGGTCCCTGGTGTGAGCAAAGAGTTAAAGAGGACAGCATGAGGGGCAGAGCCCCTCACCACCCTCAGGGCTCCCCTCGGGCAGACGAGGCTCAGCCCCAGCTGGGGCAGAGCCTGGCACTTTTGGGAGAGTTGGTTTGGCCGGCGCTGGCAGGGGCATGGCACCAAGGGGAAGACGTTCAAGATGTGCTGGAGGACACCAAGTTCTGTGTTCCCCGACGAGGTCAGTAGATCATTTTAGTACCGTTATGTGAAACATTTAGGAACGCAGGCGTTCACCACCCTGGGTAAGGCTGGGTCTGGGTCTCTCAACGTCAGATTGAGAAGGGAGAAGACGAAGCGGCCTCGTGGAGGGGCTGCATGTGAGGCCTCGTCCCCGTTCCTTCCGATCGCCCACGGTGCCGTGGGTTTTACAGCTGCTGGAGGATAATGTCAACCGCTTCGGCGAGGTTGTTCACGTACGCATCGGGCTTCACGTGGGGGTGGTTTTCATCGCAAGGCCTGCAAAGGAGAGAGAAGGGCACGGCTGAGCAAGGACGGACTCCCAACCAGGTCCCATGTCCTCACAGTGTGCAGGGCAGCACCGAGGTGGCCCCAGATGCAGCACCGTCGGGTGAGCCTGGGTTTCACATTCCTCCCTCTTCTGTTTTTTTTCCCCCTTTTCCCCCGCTCCTCTCCCATACCCAAGTCTTTCCTGCCTGCTACGGTAGATCTCATGTCCTTGTGCAACTGGGCTGGGCAAAACTTCACAAAGTCTTGTATGGAAGACAATCTGTATCATTAACTAACTCATTCAAATTAACGCACCGCATTTTATATGGCAGTTCTTCATTCAGGCAATAGCAGTATCAGACAGGGATCGCTGGGAGGACACTTCACTGCAAGCCTAGGATCCTATGAAACTGTGGAAATAACTACCATCCCATGGTTTTTCTCTAGAAATAGGTAAAGAACAGAAGAACTCAGGTCCGACCGAGAGACGTGAAAGGTCTGTACATAGCTTCAGTGAATGGGAAGGATCTGTCAGGGTTTAATTTTGCAGGACCAGCATCTTCTTGTAAATCTAACAGCGGTGGTTTCAGACGCTACCATGAAAAGGGTCAGACTCACCCTCCACCACGAGTCACCACCCCAAAGCAGAGCGGCTTGAAGCCATTTTTTTTGCCAATGATTTAATTAGAGCTACTGGCCTAACGAGGCGCAGATGCGCAATCCTGTTTTACTGATTCAGCAGCATTGCTGGTGGGTTCGGGGGCAGATGTGGGAAGCAGAAATTTTCCAAACCTCGTGGTCCTGTTATGGCTCTTGGGCTGAGAAACCCGACAGCTGCTGAAGAGAAAACATATGTATTTTATACGCTTAATGGCTTTCCTTTGGGAAAGAGATGAGAGCCCTAATGTCCACCTCCCACGTCTCTCACTCCCTGTTTTCTCATTGGGGAAGACGCATTTCCCATCGGATACATGGGAGGCAGAGAAATTATTATTATTATTTATGATGTGCAGAATTTGGTGAGCACTTCTCTGTACAAGTATCAAATTATTTCTTCAGTCCCAGCACTGAAGCTCCCCAGGGCTATCTCCTTTCTGTTCATTTTCCAGCCCCACTCTTCACGTCCGAGTACACGAGCTCCTCGCAAAGGCACAGCCTCTTTCGGGAGCCCACGCTGCTCGAGATTTTACTTGCTGCAAAGTTAGGCAACTAGGAAAAATAAAAGACACTGATATTCAGCTTTCCTTGTGTCACCTGCAAAGCCACGTCTGGCACAGGGACGATGGCTCCATGAAACGAACTCTACGTTGGTGCTGGCTGACATAAAAGCATCTTATTTAAAAGGTGGACGGTTACTCCATGGGTCTTTATTTAATTATCCAAGTCCTATCTTGTTACAGTGCTAGAGTGCAAAAGTAATTACGATGTTTTTTAGGTTTTCCTCAAGTGAAGAAGAATTTAGATTGCTGAAGGTAAAGCAAGTTATATCATACAATGGAGAAAAACTATCAAATATGAAGCAAGTAAAAATCCAGTATGTATCCATCCCTTAAGTGGTGATTATTGCTCACCCTCTGATTTAACCAAGTGGCTTTTATAAATACAGAAGTACCTTTGGGGGGGATGGCAAAATACTAATTTCTTGGCAATAATCCTTAATTTGAGTGGAGATCTAAAAAAAGTAATGAACAAAACTTCTTTCCATTTCACACCCTGAAAAATGATTCTTTCTTAGCTTACACATTAGGAGAAAATTTTAAGAACTGCTTGAAACGAATGCTTCTACAAGAAATTTTCAATTACACAGAACTCTTTGATCTATTAAAAGGATTTTGTGATTGATATCTGTGCTGACTATACACAAATCCACTTGTAACTCAGCTGCTAAATGCCAGTCATCAAGGAAATGCCCTGTGTACACTTATGTGTGCTGTGGAAGACGGGGGTGTGTGTGTGTGTATATATATATATACACACAAAGCAAAGCCAACTAGGGAATAAGGTATTTTTACCCATTTGTCCAAATAACCTGCGATCACAACACACAGACGGGCCAGCCACCAACTCCTGGCCGCAGCGAGGTTAATGGTAAAACCCACCTTTGCTCCTGGGGAGCTACAAGTTCACCCTTGCGTGTTCCCCAACGACCCCACGGGACCCCTGGGGTGGACATCAGCTTCATTCATCTGCTGCATCCCTATGATTCATCCAAGCTCAATTATTTCTCTTTTACTTCGCAGTCTGATACCTTACAGGGTTACAGCTCGGAAGCGTAAAATACTCCTCTGCTACCCATGCTACAGAGAGACGGCCTCGCTCACAACACAAGGGTTTCAATCATTTTACAAATACTTTACCGGCGTTATCCAGAAGAAAACGAGAGGAATACGCAGCCCTTATGCAGGTGCCTTCCCTGCCTGGCTCAGCTCCAGCCAGGACCCCGCTTCCCTCCCCTGTTGGGGACCAGCCCCATGACACGGCACTGTCCCCACACCGGCCATCCCTACCCCTGGGCTGGAAAGCATATTTCATTCCAGCCCACGGCACATTCTGGAGTTATATATACTTTGGAGACACGTCAGATGTCTTAGATTACCTATATGCTCACCGCTGCTAAGTGGGGGGAAACGCAATAAAGAAAATTGTCTGAGCTCTGTAGGAAAGCAGAGAACTGGAATAAAACGTACTTCTCCGCTCTCTTGCCTCTTCCTAGGGCTGTGCCAGGAGCTTTTCTCCCCGTCAGTGCCACCCCGAGAGCTGTTTCATGTGGCCTCTTCCTTTGTCTCGCAGAACGCTTTGTGGCTCACACGACTGCACACAAGTAGCCAAGCGGTGGCTTTTTTCCCCCCTCTGGTTCAGTATTGCTCTTTTAAGCATGTCTCGAAAGGAAACTGCAAGCAATAATCCCCCCACACTAATGCCAAGAAGCAATACTCCAAATGTAGCGAAACAATTCAGGAGCCCAAGTCTGGGTGCCAGAAGTGAGGCAGGAGAGACAGCTGAGCCATAAAACCTCTGGGCAAACCCAAGATGCTGGAGGATAAGCCCTTCTTCTGCCATCTGAAGGGAGCAGAGACCGTGGCTCTATGCCAGCCTCTCCCCTGGGGAATTCTGGTTTTTTCCCAGGAGAAATCCCCAGTTACGGAGAGTTTTAAGATACCCTGAAGTAAAGCACTGCTCTGGAGCTCGGCCCTGATGTCCTGGGTGTTGCTTTGGTGCATCAGAGCCTCCCTGGACAGGACCACCAGGTGCAGGTGGAAACTCCAGCCAAGAGCTGATCTTGCTCTTAAGGTTTCGGCTTGGCTTCTCTTTTGGTGACAGTGACCCTTTTTGCATCGCACGATGGCAGACCAGACAACAGTAGGTCACGAGACTGACAGCGAAGGTTACGTTTTAGTACTTTTCTCTTTCATATTCCAGAAATAAATTAAAAAAAATTCTAAAAATATCTTCAATTTGCTAGGTCAGTCGAAGAATAAACTCGCATTGAGCTAATTTTAAGATAAACTTCCGATTTTTTTTTTTCATGTGGGACTCTAGTTACAGAGAAGAACATAAATCAAAATGACAGAAAATTATATTCTGTAGCTGAATATTGAGCTGTCAGCAGTCTTGGCCAGTGCACAAACTCGCTTGTGAAAAATCCACTACAGCCTTGGGAAACACTCTCCTCAGTAAAGCAGGACTCCTTGGAGCGGCTGAGCACCACAGCCTGGATGCGTACACAAGGAACGTTTTCCAGCCCCAGTTGGCCATCACAGCTGTGAAATGTGGCACTTCATTTCTGCATTGCCTTTTGGTGGCCACCTTGCTGGTATATGAAGTGGTCTGGGAAAGAAGTGGCTTAGCACAGGGACCCTCTGAAATTTGAGGTGGTCCTTCTTGGTCCCTACAGGGACACAGGATCTGCGCCTGCCCTTCCACACACAGGGCAACGTTAGGAGAATATGTTCTTCAAAAGAAAAAGCCATCCAAAACGATCAGTGCATTACAACACATTAAAGATATGAAGTATCTTTAGCATGATGCAACCCGGACAGAGGTCTTGAGGCTCGGTAGTTACTCACGTCCATCAAATCATCCTCAGCAGATGACTAAACATCCTCTTCTCCCAGGGACCCTTTATCACTGTCAGGGCTGCAGGAGCTGAGCAGCTATCTATAGCCCCATGTGCTCTGAGCCAGATCCTCCACCCATACTGAACTGGTTAGTTCAGATCGATGCTTCTGTCTGAGACATCAAGGAAGCAGCAGGGTGCTGCAGAAAACTGGCTCCGCAATTTTAACTCTTCATTCGGTCACTTGGTAAGAGAAGCTCCAGCATGGTAGCAGGGCTACTGACTAGCAGAAAGCGATGCCTTCCTCCTGGTGAAGCATAAAACCACATCCCAGATCATAAGAAAAACCAGGTTGTGCAAGAATAAGAAGGTTCACTTACTGTCTGGGTCAGATTTCCACTTGGATAGGTCTGTTCTGGCAAGCTGAATTCCCTACCTAGACTCAGCTATCGGGAATGGTCTTGAATTGCTCCAACCTGCTATGCCATTTTGTGTGATGTTCACCCAGACACAGCTGAGTATCTGAGGGACACAGGGATCTAAACTGGCTTGGGTAGTCCTTTGCAGGAACTACTAGGGCTCTTTCGATTGAATGAAGCAAATACATGCAGAAAACAGCATTGCTAGGGACAGTGTAAAAAGATGCCCCCAAACCCATAGACTTTGAGTTAACCCTTTTCTTTCCCTTAGGGGTTGGCATTCCAGGTTTAGTCTGTGGGTCGAGGTGGGCATCGCACACTGCTGGCAGCTGGCTCTGAATGGCATTCTCATGGGCGTCCGTTTCTGCAAAGGGAATCGGAGCTGTGGAACGCCTGCGAAGTAAGGCATGTGGCTGGGTGCCGGAGGTGTCCTGCCGAGCTGGGAGCCAACTGTCCCACCGGGAGCAAGGAGTGGATGTCTGAGCACCAAACCCTCACGGCATGCTGTCCTAGGAAACTTCACGTCCCAGTTG